GCGCATAAAACCTTACTTACTATTTAACAGATGAATAACAATCGATCGATTCAGTAATCCCTTTGGAGAACTATCAAACTTAAGAAAAGGATCGGTGTATGTCTTAGCCTCAACCTCGCCGTTGTTCGACACCAACTTGCCGTATTTGCCGCTCAAGTCACCGGCTTGACATTGACTCTTGTCTTGGACAGCCGAACAATTGAAAGTATCTGGGGCAGCTATGTCACATGACGAATAACGAAAGACTTGTAAAGATGCCGATACGAATAATGATAGAAATAGCTGCAACTCTACTAGCGACCATAGCTATTATACGGGGGAAATGAATTCTTACTAATTAAGTCAATATGGTCACCGACACCATTCGGTCCACAATCACCAGTAGGCGGCACTGGGTTTTCGTGGACGTGATATGGGAATGGACCGAATTCGTCTGGTAAACCTCCCGAAAATTTAAGCGAAATCTCTACGCCATTCCCGGTTTCTTCAAATTCGATAAACCCGTTAACATTCTGTGAACCTGGTTTACCCGGTTCAAAGATAGCAGCGAGTTTGTTGTGTGATGGTAAGGCCAAGACGCTCACAGCAATAGCAAGAACGAATAAAACTGTGCTAACGGTGAAGGTCTTGGTCATTTTGAATTTCGTGCTATGATGAATGTAGCTGATTGGATAGACAGTGAAATGTGTAAGCAAAAAGTTTGAGAAGGGAATAAAGGTTGGTTTGATATGCGCGTAATTTGTTTGTCCGAAGGTAGGTATTTAAATATTGCCATTCCAATATTTACCTCGCGATAACCAGAGAAGATTATCTACTTGAATAAGCTCAAATGTGCTATTTATATATATGTTTCTATTATTAACTGAATATATTAAGAATATTTTATTACGGAACGTTTATTGTCCCCTTATGGATCAAGCTGCCATAATAATAAGGGTTGCACATTCATTATTACTAACTGCGCATTATAGCATTGATCTAAGCCTTATCATACAATCTTCTCAGACATCATAACTTATGCACAGAATATTCGTTTGACGAGATTTGTTGAAAAAAAAAAACATTGTAAGATTAAGTTTGTGTCACCCACCTTATCGGTTTTACAACCTAGGCTTAATATTAATATTAATATTAATCTGGGACAGGCTGCAACAAAACAACATTCAAGTAAATCAACGAGTTAGCGACCGCAAAGGACAAAGCTATTGTTAACTATCTGCTAATCAATTTACTGTGAGATGGATAATTGTTTTGTTGTTGTTTTTGCAATCAATCTTATATGTAGAATAAATAGGTTATGTAGCACAGCAATGCCTATTAATAACAACAAGACCTATTTGCGATTCGAAGAGCTCATCATGCGCCATATTATTTATAGTTGTATCTCCTAGCACGACAGTTCGGATCTTGTAAAGTCGATCTCAATAAGACCAGAAACCTTGCGTTAATGTTCGACACATTCCGATATACAAACAGCAGTCATTATCATATATATGATTATCGAAAAAATCCCGTTTTGGATATCTTGATAACAATAGAGTTGTATAATGTTAAAATTAGTTGCTCCTTGTAACAGTCCATCGTATATGAGGCAGGCGAACATTATAAATGAGGCTAAACGTTAACTAATTTGATAGTTCTTGCTATGATTGCACACAATTCATGGATTGGTTTTGGGTTGCATTTTTAATTAATTAATTATTATAACCAAGAATGTGACTGACAACTAATTGAAATAAATTCTTACTTGACATTATAAATCATAATGCATTTAACATAGGACCACCTCTGTGTACAAAAAACATTACATCAAATTTACTATAATTACAGCACCATTAGAAGCATTCAAGGAGAAAAGATTGCTTCATACATTTATGATATCCAAACTCTCCAGGTATATCTAGACATGAAAAAGATTACTCGTAAAATTTAAATTACTATTACTATTACTTTTTTACTTTTATATTTAATCAAAGCCATCTCTTATTTTTAACTTCAATCTGGGAATTTACTGCTGAGAAGTCGGTTAAGATAATTGCTTTTTTAATTTACCTATTTTCTTTTGTAAATTTCTATTCCATTTTGTTTAATTTTAATGTTGTTCGTCTAATTCCTTATTTTTCTTTTCCAAGCTAAAGCCTCCAGATGAATTTCTATTTTTTCTCTTAAACTGTTTATTGTCGTGTCAACCAATCACGGGAGAGCAGATGATGATCAACACGGTTTGAGATTCAGCTTAGGCCTTCGAAAGT